TGACCCAATTATTGTTAGCAGGTTGGTTGCTTAAAGAAACCATTATTACTGTCGTGAAAGTGTTGGAAAGGTGAGAACTTAGTTTTTTGAGGTGTTTACAACAGATGTCACCAATTGATGGTGCGCGATCTAGCAGCTCTCACTTGGCAGATGACTCGGATGCTGAGTTGGAGATTTCCTTGTAGGAAGCCGAGCCAAGTATGGTCGAGCTGGAGATAGCTTGGATGTCAAGCTATATAGCGACGAGTTAAGCTATCTTGCAAGAGAGCAATGTTAGAGTGCTTGGGCTGTTTTACTTAGGGAGGGCACTCCGATACTTAAGTCAACGATTTGGAAGTTTTAGAGAATATTGGAATGTTAGAAGCGCAGAGAATGCAAGAGCTGAATCGCGCGTACCTTCTCTCAAGAGAATGATGCCTTCATATAGGTGTGAGGGATTAGAGACCCTTTGTAATGGGTCCAAGATTCCCAAGAATCTACTTTCGCTAAGTTGGGAGAGAATATCTCCATCGTTATGTAATCCGCTCAGAGGGCTAAGGTCTGATCGATCGACTCTGATGCGGGTGAGGCGGGTAGGCCGACTTATCGGTCAAGTGTTATTAATCCGGAGAACTTGGTCTTGATAACCGATTTATGTACTAGGTCGGTGAGCATGCCCTGTAGGTCGCCACTTGTACCCTACTTAGTTCAGCCGGTCCCCGAAGGAAGTCGGTCCTTTAGGTCGGCCAGGCTGAGGTACTTTAGGTCGGCCTTAGGCGAGGTGCTACTAGCCACCCTGCCGGGGTGATCTGCTTACGAAGTGCTGACGTATCACATGGATGCCATGTATTGTAATGTTATTCGGAGGACCCAATTACGCCTAATCAACATCAATCTTGATTTATACTCCTTCCAGATGCTAAGAAAACTGAACTGATATAAATATTTACGTCAATCTTGATTTACATTGCTTCCAAATGCAGCCTAAGGTTCGGGAATGGCAGTTTAAGACAAAAGAGAAAAAAGGAGAGAGAAGGGAAATTTAGAATGATGAATGACAGGAGAATGAGGATGGGAGGAGAGAGAGAGAGACAGTTTGGGTATTTATATTTGAACTCCTTCCAAATTGAGCTTTCAGAACATCTCCCTCATGTTTCCTGTGTGCACATGACTCTCTCCAGACCCTATTTGTTGGAAACAAATCTGACCCCAATTCCATGATTCTCTCCAGACCCTATTTGTTCCTATTTAAAAAGACTTCCAACATATTTAGGATGATCCGTGTACACACCTCTTACACACATGATGGGTTTCAATTTGATGGATCCAACTCGTTTTTTTTCTTTTTTTGTTTTTTTATTTTTTTGAAGGGCTACACAACTAGCTGCTTGGCATCTTGCTGATGGATGGATCTAATTCTGGGATACCAGATTCAGTCCTCATAAAATTTGTCCTCATACTCTCCTCACAATATATACAGTCATGCATTTTTTGTATTGAATTTCTTGCCTTTACTATAATACAATACATTTTTTATTAACATTAATAAATTTTCTCAAAGGTAAGGAAAGGAGAGCCTTACCCGGTTTATGTGCCAAACCCAGACACCACGAGTTCAAATCAGCCTCCCACAAGACTGCCCCCACAACGTCCCACATCACATACCCGCCGTGTATTGGGAACATCTCCCAATGATAATATCAAGAATGATGATGTCATCATCGGGAGATGTTTCTAATACACGGCGGAAATGTGGTGTGAGACGTTGTGGGGGCAGTCTTGTGGGGCACTGATTCGGTCTCAGCCACCACTCAGTTGATATTTACAATAATGCATTTGAAACACTTCTTCACGGACCTAAATGTTGTTAGGACGGTGTAAGGACAAATTTTGTGAGTACTGAATCTTTTTAGAAATATTCCAGTATTTTTCAATACTATTGTATTATTTTTATATTTTAATTCAAATGAAATAAAATTTCTGAAATTTTCTTTTCAACTTGTTGTATGTTTTGCATTTTATTAATTTTTTTGGTTAATTTTTATTTTTTCCAAAATTTATATAATCTTCTTAGCAAAAAAAAAGAAAAGAAAACAATAACAAAATAAAAACAAAATAAGACCTGACCTAGCACGGGCCCGCTTGGGCTTGTGCTGCGGGCCATGCCGGGCCTGACCTTTTAAGAGTTTTAGGCCAGGCAGGCACAATCCACTCAGGCCCGCATGCTGGTGCTACACAGCCCGTTAAGGCATAGGCCGTGCCGGCATCACACAGCCGACTTTACACCTCTATCAGTCATGACGAGTTGTTGGAGAATGCCTCTGGATGCGCCCCATGCCTCACTCTCAGTGAATAAAATCACACGAGCAATTAGGCTCCATTTGGAAGGAGTACAAATACAAATGTGTAGAATTCAAAACTTGTATTTTGTATATATTTGTATTGTACATATTTATATTTATACTTCTTCCAAATTGAAGCCAAATGTGAAATCAAATTGAAAGGGTGTAAAGATGACGAAAGAAAGAAATCACCTAAATCCGGGGTTCGACTAGAAATTCCAAGAATCGGTTATTGATAGTGTTGATTGAAGTAATAACGTGAATCAACAACAAAATTCTCCCAAAGATCTTTTTTTTTTCCAAAATCTCTCAGAGCATTAAGATCAAATTATTAGATAGCCATGATCCATAATAGCAATGGAGATCATGGTTGAATTCAATCTTGGTGAGAAATTTCCGATATTTGATACGGAGTATCGTGACACTACATGATTTCCAAAACTGAACCAGACTGGATGGTCGGACTGGAAAAATTGGTAATCATGGTTTCATTTTACCCCATAACTGTTATTTCGCCAAAAATCATTGATTTGGTCAGTAAACCGCTGACCCGGGCAGTCAAACCGTTCAAACCGTTTGAATCATCCGAACTGTCCAATGATTTTGACCATTTTTTATTTTTTTATTTTTTTATTTTTGTCAGAATGGGCCGTCTGTTCGGTCCGAACGGTTGGACCGTTCGATCCGGGAACCGGACTCCTGACTAGTTCGTTGTAAAAGTACATCGATGATGTTTTACGAACCATATAAAAAGTGACTGTTTGAGTTTCAAAAAGTGTGACGAAAAAAGCAGAGTTTTACATCGATTTTATCGATGTAGTATTTACATCGATAATCGATGTAAAATTCTACTTTAGATAAATTTTACATCGATTTACAATGTAAAACTCTACTTCATGCAAACGCCGACAACATCGAACTAGAGTGGAGTTTTACGTCGATCTTGATTTATATTTCTTCCAAATGCTGAGAAAACTGAACCGATATAAATATTTATGCCGATCTTGATTTATACATCGCTTCCAAACACAACCTAAGGTTCACGAATGAAAGTTTAAGACAAAAGAAAAAAAAAAAGGAGAGAGAAGGGAAATTTAGAAGGATGAATGGCAGGAGAATGAGGATGGGGAGGAGAGAGAGGGACAGAATGGGTTTTGTTTTTGAACTCCTTCCAAATTGAGCTTTGAGAACATCTCCCTCAAGTTTCCAATGTGCACATGTAAATGGATTGTTGGAGTTTGTTGGAAGCAAATCTGACCCCAATTCCATAATTCTCTCCGGACCCCATTTGCTCCTATTTAAAAAGACTTCCAACATATAACTCTCTCCGGACCCCATTTGTTCCTATTTAAAAAGATTTCCAACATATTCCATGATGGTCTGTGTACACACCTCTTACACATGATGGGTTTCAATTTGATGGATCCAACTCTTTATTTTTTTTAATTTCTTTTGAAGAACTACACAACTAGTTGCTTGGCATCTTGCTGAAGGATCCAATTCTGGGATACCAGATTCAGTTCTCATAAAATTTGTCCTCATATCCTTCTCACAATACTTACATTCATACATTTTTTTATTATTGAATCACTTGCCAATACATTTTTTATTAACATTAATAAATCTTCTCAAAGGTATGGAGAGGAGAGCCTTAGTCGGTTTATGTGCCAAACAGCCACCACTCAGTTGATACTTAAATAATGCATTTGAAACACCTCCTTCACACACAGACGTAAATGTTGTTAGGACGGTGTAAGGACAAATTTTGTGAGTGGTGTAAACAGATTCCGACTCTGGTAAGATGTGTGGATGCAGATTTATCCGATTATATCAGAGTTTTTTAGAAACCGTATCTTTTTAAAAGAAATACACTAACAGATTATCAGAGCTTGTTAGAAGTCCTCTCTTAGGGGTGTAAACAGATTGAATTTGAATCGGATCAAGCAATATTTGAATTTGAATCTAATTAAAAAATCGGATATCCAAATTCAAATCCGATTAAATATTCAAATATTCAATTCGAATTCCATTAATTAATTATTTTAGATATATAATAAATATTTTATTGAAAGTATATAAATATATTTATATAATTTAATTATCATATATAAATTATATAAAATATATTATATATAAGAATTAAATAATCAATTAAATTCAAATATTTATCAAATTGAATAAAATAATATCTGAGTTCAAATCCGATTAACTATTCGATATTCAAATATTTAAATTATCCGAATTCTCCATTATATCGAATAGGATATCTAATATGGAATTGCGATCATGCGTTGACACCCCCTAGTCTCTCTTTCTAAAATAAATAAACACTCTTGACCCGAGCATGCGTGATCGACCACAGTCGGGAAATTAGTATCACTGTCATATTGATCCTCGTGTCAACCGATACACCTTACAGTAATATCCATGCTCCCCCATGCCCAGCATTAATGATGCATGTTTGCACGGTTCAGATTGTATCACTCTCTAGTCCTCCGACATTGAAAAGCAATCCAGTACCTCTCGGCCACTTGTCATTATTTCGAAACCTGATACTTCAGAGTAGAAGGTGGTCGTGGGGACTATGCTTTGGGGAAATGGTAGGACCTTCATCTTCTCCTGGGTCCCGCAGTCACTGATGGTTGGTTGTCAATAAAACCAAACCATCTCCGGGACACTTTCATTTCATAGCCATTCTGAGAAAGGTTTTGACTTTTGAGAGATGAGTGAGAATCCACGAACGCTCAAGTCTCTGGTGCTTCCATGGAAGACGAAGCTCTACCTTCCTCTGATTTCGGCTATTACAAATGTCGCTTGTCGTCCTGAAGGCACCGTCAACCGCCGTCTTCTCAACTTCCTTGAACCCAAGGTTCCTCCCAGTGCAAAACCAGTGAGAGGCGTTAAAACAGCCGATATAACCATAGACCCTACCCGGAACCTCTGGGTTCGCGTCTTCATCCCCACCGAACCAGCCGGTGACGCCAGCCTCCCGGTCATCGTCTTCTTCCACGGCGGTGGGTTCGCCCTACAAAGCGCCGACTCCAAGGGCTACGACTTTGTTTGCCGCCGGATAGCGCGTACCGTCTCCGCCGTCGTCGTCTCCGTCAACTACCGTCTCTCACCGGAACATCGGTTCCCGGCGCAGTACGACGACGGATTCGACACTTTGGTGTTCCTCGACGCAAGACATTGCGAGGGGTTTCCGGTTAACGCCGATATCTCGCGGTGCTTCGTCGCCGGCGACAGCGCCGGAGCCAACTTAGCTCACCAAACGGTATGCATGGCGGGAAAGGCGGAGTTTCGGAAGTTGAGGGTGATCGGACTGATCTCGATCCAGCCGTTCTTCGGTGGAGAAGAGCGGACCGAATCGGAAATTCGGCTGAAGGGAGCGCCTATAGTGTCAATGGATGTCACGGACTGGATGTGGAAGGCGTTCTTGCCACATGGATCGAACCGGGACCACGAGGTGGTGAACGTATCGGGGCCGAATGCGCCCGACATATCGGGTCTGAAATATCCCGCGACGTTGGTGTTTATCGGGGGATTCGATCCGTTACAGGACTGGCAGAGAAGATACTACGAGTGGTTAAAGAGGTCCGGCAAAGAAGTTCAGTTGGTCGAGTACCCGAACGCAATCCATGCGGTTTATGTGTTCCCCGAATTGCCCGAATCTTCTCTCTTAATTACGGAAATCAAGAATTTCGTTGCAAATCAATCTAGGAAAATCTTAAAATGAGATGCAAAATTCTTCTGGATATTACATACGAGAGTGCAACTAGAAGAAAGGAAGAGTGCAAGTCCGGTTCATTTTCGCTCGGGTTTTACTTTGTTTCAAGTTACAATTTACTTTGTTCTCTGTTTGCTTATAGTGCAAGCTAGTTTTAACTGGATAGAATTTTACACTCAGTTCACTTTTTTTTCTCTTTTTTCTGGTAAAATTTGCACTCAGATCAATTTTAATTAGATAGAAATGTTGCACTTAGTTCAGTTTTGCATTTGTTTTACAAATATACGACTTACTTTCTTATTTGATACAAATTTTCTACTTTTTGACAACATTTAGGTTCAGTTTGGAAAGAATACAAATACAAATATATACAGTGCAAATAGGTACAAAATAGTAAAAAATATTAGGCTTTGCACTGTCTACATATTTGTATTTGTACTCTTTCCAAACTGAGACATAATTGCAATGCAATTGGTGTAAATGCATGGGATTGGCTACATTTAGGATCTGTTTGGTTTATAGTCGGAATCGGAATAGGAATCAAAATCTTCTAAAATCGGAATTGGAATGATCCATTCCCGTAGTCTGTTTGGTTCAGACAGGAATGTGAATGAGAATTAGAATCAGTAGGCATAAGGTTTCATTTCCAAGGGAGGGGCAAGGAATGATCATTCCCTAAATAGAATGAGAATGAGATTCTGATTCTACCCAAACAAACTGTTGGAATCGAAATAACTCATTCCGATTCCGATTCTAGACTCCTATCCCCATGAGCCAAATGGGACAATGTAAATTCTGATTTACTTTTATTCAAATTTAACCATGTCTTGCTTGTGAAAAATAACAGTAAAATGTTGTATCCCACCTACATGAAAGGGAATTGAGGTAGGGGTGTGAGCATTCAGAAACCGCTTATTTAGGCTGATTTGGAGTTGTCACCCATCAATCAAATAAAATAGAGATAATGGGTGTCAGAAAATTGCATAAAAAATCGTTGTTTTTGCTTAACGCACCGACTAGGCCACTTCAGGTAAAAACTCAAGGGGAGAAGGTGTTCAGACATCCCGCTCCCATGTCCGATAGGTGGGGCCCATATGGGCGATTCAAAGAAAACAGAAACCTCAAGCAACTAATTATCATTTTATGTAAAGCAATGAATGGAGAGAGAGGATAAGAACCTGTCATGAGGGACCCTCTCATTTTTTATTATTTTAATATTTGTTTACCTATAATCATTATTATGATTACTCTATACCACTCTTTTTTATATCTTATGTATTTTTTATTTTAATTTGTACACCTTTTTTAAAGAAATATCTTAACTGGTTTTCAAGAGAAACATTGTCATACATACAAGGGAGTATTTTATAGACTCAAGCTAAGTGATGATAAAACTGGGAATTGGCTTCTAAGCCGATACTGAGAATACTACTAAAGATTCTCTTTTTCACTTCTTGTTTTTCTTTTCCCCTTTTTATTCTAAATCAAACCAATACGGTAATACCCAACAAAGGTAAAGGGGATGACTTCAGAACTCAGAACCAAACCAAGGGGCTCTCGGCTATCCTAAATGTAAACCAAAATGGGCCTTTTGGAATTCAAACCTATGTCCTAGACTCACTCTAAGACCAATAGTCCAATACTACCTCCTCGCTCCTCCCCTTCCACTTATTACTTTCATAGAATTATATTTTTTTAAACGCTTCCTATAGCTGTGCATTGATCATAAGCGCTTCGGATGGAAAGAAGCATGCAAGGTCTTTTTTATTAAAGTTCAAATTTAATGGGAGTCCAGAGTTAACGGCAGTCTGGAGTCCATAAAACTCTCCTATTTAATTACCCCATTGGAGTCTATTCTTCTTTTCTTTTTTTTTTTTTGTTTGAGCCCCAAAATTTACTCCCGGTGGAGGGTTGGCCACCGAAATTTTATTAATATGAAGAAAACTGTGGAGGGGGGGACGTGAAGCCTTACCTCTCGCTCTATACAAAGGGAATCTGGCTCATATAAATATTAAGCGTCCAGGCAACCTAAAATCAACGAATTCTCAAAAAAAAAAAGAAGACCTAACCATCTGCTATAATCAAGTATTGTACGTGTGAAGGAAGTGTATCTGTGCAATCATAAACAGTTTTCTAAGACTCTAAGCAACCCAACTTTGCAAAAGCATCCGCCGGTTGGTTAGCCTCTCTGTAAATATGGACACAAAAGAATTCCAATCTATTCCTAAGCTTCTGAACTTGAGACAACCAAAACCAAAGTTTCTAAGGGGCAATACAAGTACCATTGAGAATATCAATCAAAAGTTTGGAATTTAATTCCACCATTATCTTCTCTAAATTAAGTGCAACCGCCAGGTGTAAACCATCCAGCAAAGCCATAGCCTCTACGACTAAATTGGAGTGTGAACCATAGGTGTTAGAGAAAGCACTAATGAAATCATTTCTTCCATCTCTGATGATACCCCCTCCACCACATGGGCTAGGATTTCCTCTAGAAGCACCATCAACATTCAACTTAAAGTAACCCTCCGGAACTGGTAATAAATGCACCACCTTGATGCACCTATTCTTAATTGGGTGAATTCACAACCCCAAACCATGTAAAGAGAGTTGTTAAGTAAAACTCACTTTATGGGTGAGATTTAGAGGAGATGATACCTCATGAAACCATCGCACAATTACCCAAATCACCATATTAGAGCATCTGAATTATTTTCCATTATGCGCTTGTTTCTCTCCTTCCAAATTTCCCAGACTGCAAAATAAGCAATCAGCCCTATTGTAACAATCCATTATTTTTTTCCTAAGGCTGATGAAAACCAAACAGAGAGGAGCTCCTTAATACTCTCGTTACCCCTGAAGGGAAGCCCAAACAATCTGCTAAAGAAAATCCAAACTTTTCGAGCTAGACAGCCATGCACCAGCAAATGATTAACATTCTCCTCTGAGTGATCATGGAAACAGACATATCTGGATACAAAAGGGACCCCCAGCTCCTTTATATCAAAGTCCACCCTTACCTTCCCCACCATAAGTTTCCATACAAAGAATCTTATCTCGGTGGGCACTAGATCAATCCAAATTGCCTTGTACCAATCCACCGTAGGATGAGCATCCCTATAGAAGGACCAAGTTGTTTTAACAGAGAACTCTCCTTTCGTTTCAGGAAGTCAAACTATCTTGTCTTGGCTGTTAAAGAGCTTTACACCTGACCTCTGAATCTGTTGGAGAGCCTCATCCTCAAGAAACCCCCTTAACCTGATTCAGACTCCAAATTCATCAACAACATCACAAACTCTCAATTGCAAATTAAGACCATCTAGCTGAATGGCTTTCTCAATTAAAGGACCATCCATGGTCCAATTATCCAACCAGAAACTGATTTCTCCCCTTCCCACTAACCACCTCGAGAGAAGGACTAAATCACCTCTTAGTTCACCTTCCAGGTACGAGAAGTATAGCACGAAGGGATGGCTATATAGAAATGACCGCCCTTCAGCACCTTGGCTCTGAAAAATTCAGCTCCACAAAGAATTTTGGAACAACACTCGCCACAAAGCTTTCAACCTGAGTGCTTTTTGGACATTAGATAAGCTTTTAATGTACAACCCACTTTCAGAAAAATGTCTCACAATTTTCCTCCAAGCTATCCAATGGTGATGACTACATGTCTCCGAATTAGACCAAAGGAAGCCTTTCATCAATTGATCCAGGCGTTTGATAACCTTCTTGGGAGTTGCAACTACTGACATCAAGTATATCGGAATACTGCTCAACACATGTCTAATTAAGACCAACTTACCTCCCACTAAAATCATTTTCCCTTTCTAGCCTGAAATTTTTGCTGCCACGTTTTGCACAACCCCACCAAATGCTTCTACTTTCACTCGGCCCTTACCAATGGGGACCCAAGGTAGGTGAAGGAGAGAGACTTATGCACGTAGCCTGTAACTGAAGTTATGATTTGGATTCTACTACGAGAGGCTTTTGTTGAAGTGAAAAAATAGCTCTTCGCCTTATTCACCAATTGACCCGAACATTGCTCGTACCTTCATATTATTGACATCACTTTCTCTAACACCTGTTTGGACCCTCTTATGAAGATAATGGTGTCATCAGCATAGAGGTTGTGGGTGATAGGAGGGTAGCCCCTGTGAGTCACATAAGCATTTGTAGGATACTGTATGCCTAGCTTGGACAAGTTTCTACTGAGTACCTCCTCTACAATGATAAACAAATATGGCGAAAGGGGATCCCCTTGCCGCAAGCCTTTGGTGGACTGAAAAAATCCTATTTCTCCTCCATTCCAAAGAACTGAAAACCAGCAATTCACAACCATTTTTCTAATCAAATCAATCCAATGTTCACTAAAACCGAACCATCTCAGGACTTTAAAGCTTTAGCCATATCCAGTTTAGTCGACTGTAAGCTTTAGCCATATCCAGGAAGTCCCAATTTAGCCGATTGTAAGCTTTAGCCATATCCAATTTCAGCACAACATTTCCCCCCACAACCTTTCTATCAATATCTGTTACCATTTCCTATACCAAAGCTACATTATCCATGATGTTTCGCCCCTGAATAAAGATATTTGTAATAAGTTTGTAGTAGAAATAACCGAAGTTGATGGGACAAAAATCTGTGAAACTCTTAGGAACCATGCATTTTGGTATCAAAAAAATAAAGGAGGAAGTGTAACTCACCGAAAGCTGGCCACCATTAAAAAAGAATTGGATAGCCCCTACCACATCTGCTCCAACAATGTCCCAGCACAAGACAAAAAAATGTCCTGTAAAACCATCCGACCTCGGTGCACTGTCTCTGTCCATGGCATGGACCACCTCTTTAATTTATGTCTTAGAAGGTACGGCCAAAAGATTGGCATTGTCTTCCTGATTAACCACACACGGAATGATATCCGGCAATTCCTCATCACCAACTACTCCTTCCTTTGAGAGAACACTACAAAAAAACTTTACAGCACCTTGGTTTAACTCCTCTAGGTCAAAAAGCCAATCACCTGTGTAATTTTTAATCCTACTAATTCTGCTTCGCATTTGGTTCAGCTTAACAGACATATGAAAAAATTTTGAGTTTCTATCCCCCTCTTTCAATCATTTAATTCTTCATTTCTGCCTCCAGAAAATTTCCTCCTGTTTGTGAACTTCATGAAGTTTCTTCCTCTCCTCCCTTAACTCCATGAAGCTAAAGGCAGAGTTCATCTGCAAGTGATTCAATTAAGCTTGTTGGACCCTGTCTT